CATGCAAGGCAAGCACTCTACCACTGAGCCACCTTCCCAGCCCCTGAAAGTACTTTCAAAAGTATAAAATATACAAATATATGAGTTTATTAATGTAACTAATATTTTTGAGTGTGTTCTCAGAGTCTTGTAAACTCATGGTTGGCTTTTTTGCTCAAAGATGGCACACTTCAACTTCTGTCTTTCTACTGGTTAATTGGAGCTGAGTCTCACAGACTTATTTGCCTGGACTGGCTTTGAACCATGATCCTCAGTTCTTAGCTTCCTGAGTGGCTAGAATTGGGAGCATAATCCACCAGTGCCTGGCTTGTTAACAAATATTTGAAGAAGAAATTTCAGAAGAATGGAAGAGATTCAACACTAGTAAAGAATGCATTTATTAAATGCTCACCGTGTCCTATATCTTAATATATTACCTTTTTTTTACCTTAAAACAACTTGGGACAAGATAGCTTTGAGGGCTATTTCCACGTCTGTCTTATTCATCATTGAATCCCCAAATGTGAGTTAGAACTTGTCATGGGTGGGGTTTAATAAATATGTAATGAATAAATAACACCCAAGGTAATCTGATTCAATCTATACTTTTTCCACTCATGTTAAGTGGTGCAAAACTCAATGCTTTCTGATTGAGAGCAAATATATAAGTAAAATTGGATGGGGCTATCTGACAAGGATTAGCTGGATTTGGCAAACAGAGATTAGTTGAGTGACATTTGCTAACCTTTTTGCAGAGAAGCAGGAGGAAGAATGAAATGACCTAAAGCCACAGAGTTTTTTATTTCAGCATTAGCTACCGCAGAGAGATAGTAGGCATGAAAAACAGTAGCATTATCTTCTATGTAGTCAAGGCTGTGATATATTCTAGGAGAAAGAAAGGAAACCTTTTAGAATATGAAATGAACAAGAATGTGTCAACTTTTCAAAAGAAAAAATAAATGACTGGAAATACGGACAATTATGATGACCTTTTCTCCCTAGCAAAAAGACAATCTTTTTATTTTTTATTTTTTTGGGGGGGTCTGGTTGTGAGGCCTGAACTCTGGGCCTGGGCACTGTCCCTCAGCTCTTCAGTTCAAGGCTAGCGCTCTACCACTTGAGCCACAGCGCCACTTCCGCCTTTTTTCTTTTTGCATATGTGGTGCTGAGGAATTGAACCCAGGGCCTCATGCATGCAAGGCAAGCGCTCTACCACTGAGCCACCTTCCCAGCCCAAGAAAATATTTTTAAAAATTTTTATTTTTTAGTGCTTTTTAGATGGAACCCAGGGCCTTGCACATGCTAGGCAAGCACGATCCCACTGAGCTCCATTTTCAGCGTAAGAGTATACTACTACTTAGTTTGGTGGCCTGACTCTAGGCAAACCTCAGCTTTAGAGAGTTAAAAAAAAGACTGTAAATTTAGAAACTTGACCTAAAACAGTAAGTAAATGGAAATTAACAGTGGATTGGCCATCAGCAGCTTATAAACTGAGTTTCCTCATAGTGCCATTATGAAAGATCAGTGAATTCTGAGGTAGGGAATGGGCAGTGCATGCTGTCAGGAAAGATTTCATAAATAGATAACTAGGCCTTGTTAGGAAAGATTTCATAAATAGATAACAAGGCCTGTAAAAAAGTAGAAGAGGGAAGACCATTAAAGAAAAAGACAGGAGCTGGGAAGGTGGCTCAGTGGTAGAGCGCTTGCCTTGCATGCCTGAGGCCCTGGGTTCGATTCCTCAGCACCACATAAGCAAAAAGAAAAAAGCC